GACACAGTACTCCAGATGAGGCCTCACCAATGTCAAATAGAGGGGAACGATAACGTCCCTCGATCTGCTGGCAATACCCCTACTTATACATCCCAAAATGTCTTTGGCCTTCTTGCCAACAAGGGCACACTGACTCATATCCAGCTTCTCGTCCACTGTAACCCTTAGGTCCTTTTCTGCACAACTGCTGCCTAGCCATTCGGTCCCTAGTCTGTAGCGGTGCATGGGATTCTTCCGTCCTAAGTGCAGGACTCTGCACTTGACCTTGTTGATCCTCATAAGATTTCTTTTGGCCCAATCCTCTAATTTGTCTAGGTCCCTCTGTATCCTAGCCCTACCCTCCAGCGTATCTACCTCTCCTCCCAGTTTAGGGTCATCTGCAAACTTGCTGAGGGTGCAATCCATACCATCCTCCAGATCATTAACGAAGATACTGAACAAAACCCGCCCCAGAACTGAACCTTGGGGCACTCCACTTGATACTGGCTGCTAACTGGACATGGAGCCATTGATCACTATCCGTTGAGCCCGACAATCTAGCCAACTTTCTATCCACCGTATAGTCCATTCATCCAGCCCATACTTCTTTAACTTGCTGGCAAGAATACTGTGGGAGACTGTGTCAAAAGCTTTGCTAAAGTCAAGGAACAACATGTCCACTGCTTTCCTCTCATCCACAGAGCCAGTTATCTCGTCATAGAAGGCAATTAGTTTAGTCAGGCATGACTTTCCCTTAGTGAATCCATGCTGACTGTTCCTGATCACTTTCCTCTCCTCTAAGTGCTTCAGAATTGATTCCTTGAGGACCTGCTCCATGATTTTTCCAGGGACTGAGGTGAGGCTGACTGGCCTGTAGTTCCCAGGATCCTCCTTCCCTTTTTTAAAGATGGAGGTAAGTGCCACCCAGCGCCTGCACCCCTGAGCCTCTCCCCGTGCCCCAACTCCCTGCCCCAGCCCTGATCCCCCTCCCACCCTCCAAACCCCTTGATCCCAGCCCGGAGCACCCTCCTGCACCCCAGACCCACCCCAGAGCCTGCACCCCCAGCCGGAGCCCTCACCTCCCCCCCGCTGCACCCCACACCCCCACCCCAGCCCTGAGCTTCTTCCCACACCCTGAACTCCTCATTTCTGGCCTCACCCTGGAGCCCACACATCCCACACCTCAGCCCCAATTTTCTGAAGATTCATGGCCCACCATACAATTTCTATTCCCAGATGTGGCCCTTGGGCCAAAAGCTTCACCCACCCCTGTTCGAGGGGAAAGCCACAGATGATCTCCTTGGCTCCCCTTTCTTCAGAGTCAGCCTTCTTCACTAGTATTGATGGGTACGGCACCAACATACTAACAAGAAGCTTCTTCTTCATCAAACTCCTAGCCGGTCCCATCCGAGGGGATATGTCACCTGCCTGCCCTGGTTTCAGCCTCAGTTCCAGCTGTGACCTTTGGGCTATGCATAGTTGGGGACCAGGCTGCACCAGTGGCCCTTTTGGAACCATGGGGCTTCCTCTCTCAATCAAGAGTATCCCCATGGCCACATCAGCTGGCTCCAACTTCTGGGCATCAGGAGCATTAACACCTCAAACACCATAGTGTTGGTACCAAGCCCAGCACCAAGCAGTCAGGATCCCTCTCACGAACAGCTGCAAAAGGAGCAGGAACTGGATCAGCCTCCGGTACCATTGGCAGCCTCGTTCTCATCCCCTGATAAGCCAATTGTGGTAGAGCCTATTTCTTCATCTCCTGATGATTTTAAGGCTCATCTGGAGTTGTTGAGGAGGATGGCTATCACCCTTGATATCCACCCAGAGGACATCCAGGAAAAATCCCACAAACTGGTGGACATTCTGACATCTGCAGCTCTGGCTAGAATAGCCTCATGTATCAGTAAAACTATCTTAGATCCTACCTAAGCACTCTGGCAGACTCACTTCCCTGCCTCCAACTGCAAAAAGAGGGGAGAGATGGTATTATGTCCCCTTCCAGGGGTTCGCACACCTATGTAACCATCCTCCTCCAGGCTCCCTTGTAGTGGCAGCAGCCAGTGTAAAAGAAAGATAGGGCACCAATGCCAAAAAATAAAGAGGACAAGAAGCTGAACTTATTTGGAAGGAAGCTTTATTCCACAGGTGAATTACAGCTTCATCCTGCAAACCAGCAAGCTTTGCTGAGGCACTACGATTTCATCCTGTGATGGGATGTTAGATGGAGTGGGATCTGAGTTACTACAGAGAATTCTTTCCTGGGTATCTGGCTGGTGAATCTTGTCCATATGCTCAGGGTTTAGCTGATCGCCATATTTGGGGTGGGAAAGGAATTTTCCTCCAGGGCAGATTGGAAGCGGCCCTGGAGGTTTTTCGCCTTCTTCTGTAGCATGGGCCATGGATCACTTGCTGGAGGATTCTGTGCTCCTTGAAGTCTTTAAACCACAATTTGAGGACTTCAATAGCTCAGACATAGGTGAGACGTTTTTCGCAGGAGTGGGTGGGTGAGATTCTGTGGCCTGCGTTGTGCAGGAGGTCAGACTAGATGATCATAATGGTCCCTTCTGACCTTAATATCTATGAATCTATATGCTTTGAAGTTCAAAGACAAACTTCCAGATGAGGTGAAACAAGAGTTCCAGCCTCTCATAGTGGAGGGAACGTTTGTTGCCGGAACAACTCTGCAGGCAGGTCTCAATGCAGCAAATTCTGCAGTGCACCACCTGACCTCTGCTATCATGATGCTATCGTTCTGGTTACACTCTTCTGGCCTCTTTCCAGATGTGTAACATACAGTCCAGGACCTACCTTATGAAGCACCATTGCGCTTCACAGAAAAGACAGATGAGACTCTGTGAAGTTAACACCCCAGCAAAGAGGTGGAAGGGGTTTCATTCTTCTCAGTTCCAGTGTTTTCAGGGATTTGCCCCTTGACCCCAAGTCCTACCAAGGAGAAGGAGCAGAGGTTACAAACGATGACCACCACTGCCTCTGCTTCTACAGCCACCAGTTCAGCGAGGCTGGCAGCAGCATCTTCCAAGAGCTCATTTTGATGGGTGGATTGAGAGCAGTCCACCACATACAAGAGTGCCATCTTTTTCTTTTCCAGCTTTTTCAAACTGCCTGTCCCACTTCTGTTGTGCTTGGGCCCACATCCCAACAGATTGGTGAGTTCTAAGCATGGTGGCAGTGAGATATACATTCCATTTTATTTCTGCCTCTAACCCCCTTCCCTGCCCTTCCCCATCTCTCTTCAGGGACCCCTCCCAAGAGACAGTATTACTCCAAGAGATATAATCACTTCATCTTGTAAGAGCTATAGAGGAGGTTCATCCTTCCTGATCCCGAAGGTAAAAGGGGTCTCACACCTATTTTAGATCTAAGGCAGCTAAACAAGTTCCTAAAAATAATCGAAATTCCGGATGGTCAATCTAGCTTCTATTATTTCTTCTCTGGAGCCAGGGGGACAGGTACACTGCCTTTGACGTAAAGGATGCCTACTTTCACATGGCAGTTCATCACAGCCACAGAAAAATTCTGAGATTCTTTGTCAGTGGAAACCTTTATCAGTTCACAGTCCGCCCCTTTGGTCTCTTGGCGGCTCCAAAGTGTATGGTGGTGGTAGCACCATTCCTCCAGAGGTTAAGGGTCTTGGTACCATTCCCTGATTGATAAGAAGTTGATCCAGGGTGCTAGCCGTTTAGCTTGCATGGCATTCCTTTCTCACATCCAAGTAGGAAGCGGCATATTGTTGCTGACTGACAATATGACTACCATGTTTTATGTAAACAAGCAGGAAGGAGCCCGATCCTCACTATTCTATCAGGAAGCAATCTGGCTCTGGGACTTGTGTATCAGTAACTATACTTCTGAAAGTAGCTCATGTCCCAGGGACTCAGAATATAATGGCAGATCGACTGAGCAAGGTTGATCACCATGAGTGGTCCCTTTACCCAGTCATAGCAAGGTTATTTTTTTAGCTCTGGGGGGCAGGACACAACCCAGGTTTGTTGACCGATGCTTTTCTACTGCTGTGGTCAGAAGATCTGCAGTACACTTTTCTGCCAATCCCTCTTTTGCCCAGAGTTGTCTGCCAGGCAAGCAGGACAAGGCCCGTCTTATACTGATTGCCCCAGCGTGGCCCCGTCAGTACTGGTTTTCACAGCTCTTGGACCTCTCAATCAGTCCCCACTGTTACTCACACTTCATGCAGACCTATTTTTGGAGAATCACGGACGCCTCCTCCATCCTAGCTTTCAGGCCCTGGAGACTTCAGGGTTAACGTTGGCAAATGAGTCCAGCTCTGGAAAGGTGCAGGAGGTAGTGCTGACTAGTAGAAAACCATCAATGAGGTCAACTTACCTTGAGAAGTAAAATAAGTTTTTCACCTGGTCGAGGCTAAAAGGGGTCTCCCCTTGTCCAACACATTCTGAATAGAAGCAAGAATATCTTTTTTGTGTTTGAATAATCAAGGATTGGCAATTAGCTCAATCAGGGTATACCTAGCAGCTATATTGGCATTTCCCCTTCCTGTGGATAATCACTCCCTTTTTTCCAACCTGATCGCAGTAAGATTTTTAAAGGGTTTGGGCAGACCATTTCCACACATACAGAGCTCTCTTCCACCATGGAGCCTGAATCTAGTCATAACAAAACTGATGGATTCCCCCCCTTTGAACCTCTACAGACCTGCTCTCTGTTGCACCTTTCAATGAAGATAGCATTTTTAGTAGCTATTACATTGGTCAGGAGAGAAGGGAAATTGAGGGCATTACTAAAGGTAAAAACTCTCCAACAATTATGCATTGGAGCGCGCAAACACCTACAGTGGAATGGACATGTGCAACACATCTCGAACAACAGTTATAGAAAGGTTAGTAACTGTTTTATTTATAATATTTTTTATGGTAGCCCTACTTAGTTAATTAAATCCAGCCACCTGATTTCATTCCCTCAACAATAGGCTCACATTAATTACACACCGTGTTTATATAAAGTGATCCTTCTCTTTTTTGCAGCTCTTTGCAAAAAGCAAACCTCCGAAAGGTCTTTACATCTATGGAGATGTAGGTAAGTTTCAGTAAAGATTTCATTGGAAGTTTTGGCTAAATGAGGGTTTCACAGAGTTTCCATTTAAGAGGGAGCAGGATCCAGTGCACCTGTGACTGATTGCCTGCTGCCTACCTGGGTTTAAGGGAAGGAATCTGGGCCTTACAAAGGGGAAGGTAGCAACAAGGGAAGGACTGCTACCCATGAATCTCTCTCAGCCCGGAAAGGCAGGGAAAAGGTGCTAGAAGGGTTCCTGAAGAAAGCTGTTGGGGTAGCTGTTGAGAGCCCAGAAACATAACCCCAAGAAAGGATGGCTTTGCCACCCTCTGAACCTGAGGGAAGAGAAAAAAGCCCAGGGAGACTTTACTTGGAGTCTGGGAAAAAGAGACTTTATTTTAAGTTTATTTTAACTTAATAAAGTAGAACCCCAGGATAGGTATTTTGTCTTATAACTTTTGGACTGTGTGGAATTCTTAAGGGATGCTGAGAGTAGGGGAAACTGAGGCAGGGCCACACTTGACCAGCAGGGGATGCTACAGGACAGGCATGCCCTTCTACAGAGGACTTACTCAAGTTCTAATGTAGCCTTTAATGTCAAAGGTTTTTTATTTTTTGTATAACAAGTTACTATTTTAATTAACTTTTCATACTTGTTTCTTTTAGAATATGGAATGGTATTAAGTATAGATCCAGTTGCTGTATATGGAGTGGCGTGCATTAATGTATTTCTGTTTGTGACATGTTATTTCCTAAATAACCAATATTTAACAACATGTGTAAAGTAAGAAGAAGGAGGCAGAGAGATGAAGATTTTATTCTAGTCATGTCAATGTACCATGAAAATGCCTTGACTCAGAATAAGAAAATATTTGGAATATTTCAGATGGAGACAATAGGGCCACTTGTTGGCTCCAAATGTCATACTTTATTTTTTCAGAATTTGTCCTTGATAAAGTGAAATACAACTTTCCTCCTAGCTCTTTTAACATAAAATATAATCTCTCTTCCCAAACAAGCAAGCTTTTTACTGTTCAGCTGAAGAGTGTAGTTTCATTAGTTCAAAGCTAATGAACAATCATTACTGTAATCAGTACATACTGTTTTTAAATTAACTACCTGTTGAGTCTATTTGTTTTTTATTTGAAGGCACAGGAAAGACAATGGTGATGGACATGTTTTATTCTCATATAGAAGTAGAGAAGAAAAAGAGAGTCCATTTTCATGGTTTCATGCTAGATGTACACAAAAGTAAGTGCAAATACTCTGACATTTACATGAGTCTCATTGAGTGTATAATCTATAACAGTGGTTCTCAAACTTCTTTTTTGTGGACCACTTGAAAATTGCTGAGGGTCTCGGCGGACCACTTAATGATCTTTCTAAATGTTGTTTGTACCATTAGCTAACTATTGTAAAGCGCTTTGGATAAAAGCGCTATATAAAAAAAAACTTAACAATTAACTTTTTTGTTCGACAAGTAAAAGCACACAACTCATATTTTAATATCAGTAGTCTTACCTTTCTAATGCAATGGATGTGCTCTCTCTCCCCCAACACGGCAGCCCCCGAGCTGGGGCTGGAAAGGAGGTGGGGTCTCTCCCTCTCTCCCCCAACACGGCAGCCCCTGAGCTGAGGCTGGGAAGAAGGGCCATCTCGCCGCAGCCCTGGAGCTGCGGAAAGTCGCTTCTTTCTCTGGCTGCCGCAGCCCTGCACATCCCAAATCCGCCCCCCCCCCCCCACGCGGCTCCACTAACTAGACGGGTGGCTCTTCATTCTCTTGTGTGCAGCCACCCAGGTGCACACCTTAGAGGGAACTATCCACAGAGCACCTGAATGGAGCTCGCAGACCACTGATGGTCCATGGACCACAGCTTGAGAACCTCTGATCTATAAAGCAACCCTGGTTTATTCTTCTTAGCATATGAGCCAATTTCACTTTCTTTTACATAAGTAATCAAAAATACATTTTATAAGCATTGTTAGAATCTTCTGTTATTCCAGTATAGCTATTAATAGCTACAATATCCAATATTAATAGGAATATCCACTCAAAAGATAATGTAGTGTGAGATGTATGTGAAATCAGATGTATATTCAAGATTAATTTACCCCTTAACTAAACACCCATAATTTATCAATTAACTTACACTCCATTTGGAAGAAGTTATATGCTAATAGTGAATTTTATATTGACTGAGATAAATAATGTGATGGTGTCCCAAAGGTATAGTTTATGTAAAAGCTACAGTTAAATTATTTGATACTTATTTGGCATCTGTGTTCAGTTGAGGGTACAACGATTTAAGAAAGAAAACAAACAAAGTTAAGTTTGGAAAATAAGATGAGGAAGGGTTAGGGGTTGGGATATCTTCCATGTCCAGGAAACATAACTTTACACATATGAAAAGGAATGTTAGGAGAGGACAGGAATCCGTTATTCTCAGTGAGAACTTGAGCTCTAAGAACAGGTAGCAGTGAAAAAAGCTTCTGCAAAGGGTTATGTAATTGCCATTACTTGAGTTATTTAGGGCTATACTAGCTATATGTCTGCTAGGAACAACTTAAGAATAACTAAAGCGATTTTGCAAAATTTCAGGAAGGTGGACGAGATGACCTAATTAAAAAAAAATCTGTCAAGATCTGTGTATGCCTTACTAAAGAATCATGTTATTTCATTCATTGCCACCCTCATTTTTCCTCTTTCCTTTCCCACCCTCTGAGTGGACATTTTTCTAGCCAATGTACCTTTTATGTTGCAAAGATCAGATTGGGTATTTAACATAATAAGAACAGATATACTGGGTCAGACAAATTGTCCATATAGCCCAGCATCCTGTCTCTGACAGTGGCCGGAACCAGATGCTTCAGAAGGAATGAACAGAAAGAGCAATTTAGAATGACCCATCCCTGTCATCCAGTCCCAGCTTCTGCACTTGGAGGTTTAGGGACACCTAAGCATGGGGTTATGTCCCTGACCATCTTGGCTAATAGTCACTGATGGACCTATCTGCCATTAACTTATCTAATTCTTCTTCTTTGAGTGAGTGCTTATGTCCATTCCATTGTAGGTGTGTGTGCTCGCCACGTGCACTGGTGCCGGAAGTTTTTTCCTCAGTGGTATCTGTAGGGGACCAGCTCTGGTGCTCTCTGGAGTGGCGTGCATATGCACCAGTATAAGGAGCGCTGCCAGCCCCCTTCCTCCCTCAGTTCCTTCTTATTGCCAGTGACAGTGCTGGAACGCTCCCCTTGATATAGCACAGGGATGGGCAGACTACGGCCCATGGGCCACATCCGGCCCTTCAGCCGATTTAATGTGGCCCTTGAGCTCCCGCTGGAGAGCAGGGTCTGGGGCTTGTCCCGCTCCCACACTCCAACCCGGGAGCGGGGTTGGTGGCCACTCCATGCGTGCCTGCCATAGCTCTGTGTGGCTCCCGGAAGCAGCAGCATGTCCTTTCTCCGGCTCCTATGTTTAGGGGCAGCCAGGGGGCTCCACGCGCTGCCCCCACCCAAAGCGCCGCCCCTGCAGCTCTCAATGGCTGGGAGCTGCAGGGGCGGTGCCTGTGGATGGGGCAGTGTGCTGAGTCACCTGGCCGCGCCTTTGTGTAGGACCCGGAGGGGGGGACGTGCTGCTGCTTCCGGGAGCTGCTTGAGGTAAGTACCGACCGGAGCCTGCACCCCTGAGTCCCCCACCCTGCCCCACCCCTGCCCCCTCCCTCCATCCAAACCCCTCGATCCCAGCCTGGAGCACCCTCCTCCACCTCAAACCCCTCATCCCCAGACTCATCCCAGAGCCTGCACCCCCAGCCCGGAGTCCCCTCCCGCACCCTGAAACCCTCATTTCTGGCCCCATCCCAGCGCCCACGGCCCCAGCCAGAGCCCTACCCCCGCCCCTCGTGCCCCTGCCCCAGCCCTGATCCCCCTCCCGCCCACCAAACCCCTCCTTCCTAGCCTGGAGCACCCTCCTACACCCCAAATCCCTCATCCCCAGCCCCAACCCAGAGCCTGCACCTCCATCCGAAGCCCTCACCTCCTCCCAACCCCAACTTCATGAGCATTCATGGCCTGCCATACAATTTCCATACCCAGATGTGGCTCTCGGGCCAAAAAGTTTGCCCACCCTGCTCTGGCAAGTGGTTTCTCTTTCTCTTTGAACTTTTATTGTGTAAATAGTTGTAGATAGTCATCAGTTCCTAATAGTGTTAGCGTACTTAGTTATTCATAGTCCCCCAAGGGACTTTGCCCAAGAACAGGGAATGCCCGGCTCCCCGGGCTTCAAGCCCTGCTGTAAGAAGTCCATGCCAATCAGCAATCCACATCTTAGTTGTCTGAAGTGTCTGGGTGAGTCCCACATTCGTGAAAAGTGCCATATCTGCAAGGGATTCAAGCCCTGGATCAGAACGGAGAGAGACATCAGATATAGGTGTCACCAAGGCCAACAGCCTACAGCAGGGGCTCATTCAGGCTTGACCCATGCCCATCCCAAAACCAGGCAATCATTTTGAGGGGACACTCGAGAGCAAACTCCCAGCCTGCAACCAGGATCTGTCTCACCCTTTATTTTCCCACTGTTTGTTACCTTTACTCCCCGCTTGGACCGCCATAACTACGGACTGCTGGGTCCTCAATACAGTGGCATCGGGGTATACCCTCCAATTTTGTTCTTTCCCACCCTCCCTTCCCTGTCTCTTTTCAGGGACCCTTCTCACAAGCAACTGCTCGCCCAGGAGGTGCAAGCCCTTCTGCGGCTGGGGGCCGTGGAGGAAGTTCCCGCAGAACGAAGAGGGAAATATCTTTACTCCTGATATTTTCTCATTCTGAAGGTCAAAGGGGGCCTATGCTCCATCCTGGACTTGAGACCTCAAGAAATATCTCAAGAAGGTGAAGTTCCTCATGGTCTCCCTGGCCTCCATCATCCCCTCACTGGATCCTGAGATTGGTATACTGCCCTTGACCTAAAAGATGTTTACTTTCACATCTCAATATTTCCCGGACAGAAGAGATTTCTATGGTTTGTTGTCAGTCAGGCACATTACCAGTTCACAGCGCTCCTGTTCGGCATAGCGACAGCATCAAGAGTGTTTACAAAGTGCATGGCAGTAGTCGCAGCTTACCTCAGGTGTCGGGTGGGGGGGGTCCAAATCAATCTCTATCTGGATGACTGGCTCATCAAGGGCCGCTCCAAAGGGCAGGTGCAGCACAGTATGGAGGTGCTATGAGCCACTTGTCACGCCCTGGGCCTGTTGATAAATGAACAAAAATCAACATTGGTCCCTGTTCAGAGGATAGAGTTCATCGGAGCAGTCGTCGACTCTACCCAAGCCAGAGCATTCTTCCCACAAGCCAGGTTCAGAGCAATGTCAGATCTGATTGCCCAAGTCACTGCGCACCCGCTCACCAAATAGATTCATAGTTATTTAGGTCAGAAGGGATCTTGGGTCTGTCTCAGACTCCTAGTTCGGCACACAAGATTGCGACTGAGGCCCCTTCAAATATGACTGTTGTCAGTCTATTCCTCAGCCAGACACCGCTTGGATAGGCTCCTCACGATACCGCCTCAGGTACTCACCTCTCTCTAATGGTGGTGCAATCCAAATTCGGTGATGAAAGGGGTTCTGTTTGTGGCTCCACGGCCCACAGTGTCCCTGGTGTCAGATGCATCTGACCTCAGCTGGGGAGCATACCTTGGTTCCCTCAAAACTCAAGGACTATGGTCGCGGGAGGAGCTGTCACTTCACGTAAACTTCGGAGAGCTCAGGACCATTTGCGTGGCGTGCGAGGTGTTCCTTCCCCGTCTATCTGAGTGGTGCAGGTACTGACAGACAACACTGCCTCCATGTTCTACATCAACAGACAAGGGGGAGCCCGGTCTTGGTTACCGGAAGATTTGAATTCAATTATATTAAACTAATGATGTGCTCTAAAATAATGCTTTTAATTTAAAACCTTTTCTTATTAACTATTTAAATCGGTAACCAAGGTTGTGGCCTGCCCTAAAGGAATTGCCAGGGAAAGCTGCAGCTAGCTTGCTTTCCCTTGAAAGGACACAGATACAGCCCTCCGATCAAGAATAGACAGGTAAGCAGTAAATCTTTGAAAACAAAATAATATTTATTTAGAATGAGTGATCACAGTAAAAGATTAGAGATGGATATAAAGTACTGTAGGAACAAATATGATAAAGGTTACAGTTGCAGGAGTGAAACGGCGTGGCAAATAAAGACGCAACACTACAATAACACTTTCAATATCACTATAACAGATAATAGAGCAATATAATCATTCACTTAATACTCTGTATCTTATAACAATATAACAATTAAGCATATAATATATATCAATTAAACATATATTTAATACTTAACTAGTTACACTAACATCCAATAAGTGCTGATCAGGCAGTTATTGAATGGGTAGGGGAAGATCTCTCTCAGACCACAGACATCCAGCTTTATTGGGAGGCAAAATCCATACACTCCTTGATAACTTACATTCTTCCAATCAGATTCCCTCTGATTCATCTATTGGTCTTTCTGCTCCGTCAATAAGCGCTGTCTGCTTCTGCTGTCTGCTTCCTGCTGCTAAGAAAGCCATTGCCGTGGCGACCTTAGAATTCTGTGGTTGCTGCTGCTTCTTAGGTGGAACCCCAAAGCCTAACAAGCCTCCACCCAAAGCTGCCTAGTTTCTTCTGCTGCCATTGATATTGTTTCTCAGGTGGCTTCTTCTGTGCAAGCATCTTCTTCCTTGCAGGTGTCTTCTCTCTTCCAGGACCCCAGACCCACTTATAGGGTTTAGTCTGTCGGCTGTCGGTCTTGTACACTATTTGTTCTCCCAAGCTCAGCCAATCAGCTTCCAACTTTTCTTAGCTCCAACCTTGATAGGTAGCTCCTTTCAATGGGGTTTTGCTGAGTCATTCCCCATAGGAGGCTGATACTGTCTCCTGATTGCATCATCCCTAATCAGTTTTATGGGCCCTCCATGTGTTCCTATGGAGTCTTTCACCACAGTACATCATCCTATAGCCACCATTTCTGGATTTTCTTAATGTAAACTACTATTAATTTCTATTTAATTAAAACCTTATTCTTAAAACTAATCACTACTCTAAGCATCCCAAAGGGTCCTGACGCTATCACCACCCTTTTTATATCCAATTAAACAAGTTATAATTTTTCCGAAATTTAAACCTCTTCTGAGGTTTTTCTGTAAACCTTCAATTTAAAGTGATATAAGGCTTTTTAGGCAACAGAGGCAAAATCTTTCATCACATCATCTGTCCTGTGTCAAGAAGCTCTGAGCCACTTATGCATCCAGTATGCTATCCACCTGGAAGCCTTGCACCTCCCCGGCATACGGAACATGCTGGCAGATCGCCTCAGCAGGTCCTTCTTCTCTCACCACAAGTGGTCCCTCTACTCGGAGGTTGCCAGATGCTCTTCCAAAGGTGGGGAGCTCCCCAAATGGACCTGTTTGTCACCAGACAGAACAGAAAATGGCATCAATTCTGCTCGTTACAAGGCCTCGACAGCGGTTCACTGTCAGATGCCTTCCGTCTGTCGTGGTTAGAGGTCTCATGTATGCCTTTCCGCCAATCCCACTGATCAGCAGGGTCCTTTCCAAGATCAAGAGGGACAAGGCGCGAGTCATTATGATTGCCCTGGCCTGGCGTTACCAGCATTGGTTTGGCAGTCTCATGGACTTGGCAGCGGCAGCACCGTGGACTCTTCCCGTATGTCCGGACCCACTTTCTCAGGATCACTGCTGCACCTGAACTTCACCTCTCTCCACCTCACAGAGTGGATGTTGCATGACCGAGCCCCGAGGAGCTGGCCTGCTCCAGTCAGGTCCAGCAGGTTCTTCTGGAAAGCAGAAAGTCCTCTACTAGAGCTACTTACCTTTCAAAGTGGAAGCGCTTCTCCTGCTCGGCTTCAGAGTGAAATATCTACCCTGTTACTGCCTCTTTACAATCCATCCTGACTACCTCCTGCATTTAACGTGCCAAGGCCTTGCCTTTTCATCAATCAATGTGCACTTGGCGGCCATATCAGCCTTTCATCTGCACGTCCAGGGACGATCAGTATTCTCACATAAGATGACTGTCAGGTTCCTCAAAGGCCTCTAGAGGCTGTTTCCTCCGTTCTGGGATCCGGTTTCCCATTGGGATTTCTAGTCCTTTCCAGGCTTACCGGTCCTCCTTTTGAGCCTCTAGCCTCTTGCTGTCTCTCGCACCTGTCATGGAAGGTCTCATTCCTTGTAGCCATTACTTCGGTGAGGTGAGTCTCCGAGATTAACGCCCTCACTTCGGAGGCCCCGTATATGGTGTTCTACAAGGACAAGGTTCAGCTGCAGCCCCATCCAGCCTTCCTGCTGAAGATGGTGTCGCACTTTCATGTCAACCAGGATATCTTCCTCCCAGTGTTCTATCCAAAGATGCACGCAACCAACGAGGAGAGACACCTGCACACTCTAGTTGTCAGGTGTGCCCTAGCTTTCTTCTTGGAGCACACCAAGCCCTTCCGCAGATAGGCTCAGCTCTTTATTGCGATAGCTGACAGGATGAAGGGCCTTCCGGTGTCCTCTCAGAGGATTTCAAACTGCATCCTCACTTGTTACAAGTTGGTGCAGGCTGTGCCTCCACCGATAGTGAAGGCTTACTCTACTAGGCTCAGGCGCCAGCTGCCTTCCTGGCACAAGTCCCTATCCAGGACATCTACAGGGCTGCGACGTGATCTTCAGTGCAAACGTTCACCACGCATTATGCCATTACCAAGCAGGCCAGAGATGACGCTAGATTTGGCAGAGCTGTGTTGCAATCGACACATCTATGAATTCCTGCCTACCTCCAGAGGTACTGCTTGGGAGTCACCTACAATGGAATGGACATGAGCAAGCACTCGAAGAAAAAACGGTTACTAACCTTTTGTAACTGTTGTTCTTCAAGTTTGTTGGTCATGTCCATTCCATGACCCACCCTCCTTCCCCTCTGTCGGAGTTCTGGCAAGGAGGAACTGAGGGAGGGAGATGGCCAGCGGAGCCCCTTTTACCAGCGCATATGTGTGCTACTCCAGAGGGCACCAGAGCCAGTCCCCTATGGATACCACTGAGGAACAAACTTCAGGCACCAGTGCATGTGGCGAGCACACACACCTACAATGGACTGGACATAAGCAACGCATCTCGAAGAACAACAATTACAAACGGTTAGTAATTTTTTTTAACCCAGTTTATTTAGTCTCCTCTTTTCCAATGAGAGTTTCCCTAAACTGTTTCTTAAAACTTAACCTCTTCATTTATAAAATATTAAGATCTGCCTTCTTTGGGACCCTATGCTTCACCTACTCCAAGACAGCAATTGCTTTCTGTGATACATGACCAATTTTGCACTTGGTGGTGATCCATATTCTGGAAATCTAATGGATACATTCTGCAGTGACAACAGGCCCGCTGACAGCAATTACGGGCCCCAGGGCTGGGCCTGGGGCAGAAGTGACGAATCTGTCACTTCTGGGACTGCCTGTCACTTCCAGGACTGACGAACTGGCCAGTCGCGCAAAGCGCGGGGCCTGGAGCAGTCGTGTGTGCCTAGGAGCCGTGCAGCCCGCCCACGTGATTTAAAAGGGCCCGGGCCCTTGGGCAATTGCCCCACTTGCACCCCTTGTAGGTGGGCCAGAGTGACAATATCTCTTGTTATCTGTGTGTTCCTTTATGTCTACTAGTAATAAAGCTAACCTCCCATCACAGGGCCTTTCTTTTCCTAATGTTCACTTTATCTTAAATACATACATAGAGTACAATCTCTAACACCTTATCGTACATTTTTTTACTGTAATACTTGTTTTGTACCATCTTTGCATCTTAGTCAGTTTTCCTTTTTTTAAAACCATAGGGATTGGTTTCTCTGAGTTGATTTTTTCCCTGCTATTTCAGAGTTTGACTACAGGTTGTAAACATACTTTAGGGAAATGGAATGTGCAGTGTTTTGCAGCTGACTTCTAAATGCTTTAAGGGTTCTGATTATTAGAGCATAGACTAGGAGAGAGTGGGTATAATTTTGAAGAAATGCAACTGAATCAAGGTCATAAATTTGAAGCAAGACAAAATGATAGAGTACCAATTACAATATCAAAGTTTTTTGAAACAATGGTAGGATAGATGCACCATTTTAAAAAAGTATGTAACAGAAGGCATCCGTGGGGCTACAGTACAATACTTTACTTTATTTGTAAACAAGAAAACACAGATTGCTGACTCTGTGAGGCTTTAGCAGTTTGCTTTAAAGGGTTGAAAAATTACCGAGTGTGCCTTTTAAAATCATAATGCATGTGATTTTTGTATTTCTGTATCTAAACTACATATGTGTGTATTATTGCTTTATATGTTCCACAGAGTTAAATGCAGCACTTCCACTGTTTCTTTTTCTGTTTTATTCACTACAGGAATACATCGTCTTAAACAGAGCTTGCCTAAAAGGAAGCCAGGACTAATGGCCAAGTCATATGATCCAATAGCCCCTATAGCTGAGGAAATAAGTGAGGGGGCCTGTCTCTTGTGTTTTGATGAATTTCAAGTAAGTAATTAATTAGAGAGAGTTTCCTGGCTTCAATAAAACATTTAAAGTATTGTTTGATCTTTTACCTTAAATATAATACCCTTTGTTGTTAGTATAGTATTCAAGTTACTAGCCCATGGTGAACTGTAGAAGATAAAAGTTCAGAAATAGAAAGAGTTTCCAAGACTGTGAAGAAAATATTTTTCAAAGAGGTGGAAGTTGACTGCTTCAGTCTACTTTGAGTCACTTTCAGTTATCTGCTCTAATCAACATCATTAAAGCTCACTGTAGAGGACAAATAGAATTTGATGAGATTCTTATGAGCACTTTGGGGAAGAGACTTTCTTTTTATAAGGAGTTTGTACAGTGTCTAGCACAGTGGTACACTGGTCCATGTTTGCCCCCCCGGCATTCCTGAAATTGAAATAACAAAATAATAATTTGACTCATTGAGATCAAGGACATGGGAACAATATATCAAATTAAACCTAAATTCTGTGGCAATGTCCTGAAGACTTTGTGCACTGGGCTATCAATCTGTGGCCATGTCAGATAAATTTTAAAATGGAAGCTTTTATTGAATTAAATAAGAAAATGAATAATACATTGATAAAATATTCTTTATTTAACTTACCTTGATTAATTCAGTTTATTCTGTACTACCCCTAAATTCTTAATTTTAATTGTGCCTCACAAATTTATATTGAAAACACACCAACTGCATTATAGAAATTGTCCACAGGGAAGCTGGAGGTTGTGGTAGCTTGAGATGATTGGGGCTTGTTGGCTTCTGAGAAGTTGTGGGAGACAGTCTGGGATAAAGACGTTTGCTGGGTATTACTGCTAAAATGATCAGCAATTAAGTAGTTATCCGTGTTGACATTTAAATTGTCATTAAGTTTTTAAAGTTAATATATCCTGTTGAGATGAATGGAGAAGCTTACACCTTTCAGCCATTGTTTCAGGCAATCTACCGACCTGAGAAGACAACACTTCATCATAGAGCTGTAGAAATGTAGAGCTGAAAGGGACCTCAAGAGCTCATCAAGTCCAGCCCCCCATGCTGAGGCAGGACCAAATAGGCCTAGAACCATGCCTTACAGATGTTTCTCCAGAATGTTCTTAAAAGCCTCCAGTGATGGGGATTCCACAACCTCCCTTGGAAGCCTATTCCAGAGCATAACTACAGTTAGAAAATGTTTTCAAATATCTAACCTAAATCTCCCTTGCTGCAGATTAATCCTATTACTTCTTGTCCTACCTTCGGTGGACGCTGAGAACAATTGTTTATTTCCATCAGTTTATAGTCAGTTCATATTGGAATGCTTTTTTACAGCCATTAGTGCTATAAAGTTAATTTAAAAAAAAAATTAAATCTTCTGTTCTAGAGTATAATTTTGCAGCAACAGTGAATTCTTTAGTAAACTGTATGGCTGCAGAATGGACAAGGACATTCCTGTGGTGCAGTGTCATTCATAGGAATGTTTGTTAATAATAAAAAAAATTCTATTTAAGAAAATTTCTTGCATATCTTTTGATAGGTAAAAGCCAGCGCTGGTCTCTTATTAGAACTTGTTTTTTGTCCTAGTGACTGAGGATGAAATGCACATTATTGAATTATGCAAATTAATGAGTAAGTGAACAACTGTGATAAAGGATTCTGTATCACAGAATAACCTTTGTTTGATATTTTGTCAAATATTGTTTTAACTATATGAGTTAGTATGCTAGTTATATACTGTAGTTGAATATTTACAAATAACTAGATGTTATGATATGTCTTTGAGACATGGAGTGAGACTACTGTGTTTTGTTTTGGCTTTTGTGTCAAAACTTGTTGTCTGGCTATACTGAAAGAAGGACAAGAGACACTTGATATGGTTTTAATCACGTTGCAACTTTATTATTAGATGTCTGGGACTACTCAGTAGATAAAAATGTACAGCGCAGGTAATTCCATGTTCATTCAATATCTACCTGATGGGCTTCCACCAGACCCTTTCTTTTTCCATCCTGGTCCCGCAGCAAACCCTTTGCTGGGACCTTACCATCCCCCTCTTGAACGAGGGTTAAGGTTGGCTATAAGTAAGGGGGTTGGCTCCCTGCTGTACCAGTCATAGGAGCTCCCCCCCCGGCATTCTGCTCCTTTTTAAACTGTGGTGATGTGGGCGAGCATTTGAGGTCATGTGCACCCCCAGATTTGCTGCTTGGCTTGTACTGAGCATGCTCAGTAACACTGCTGAAGCTGGCTACCCTCATTCTGTCATCCACGCCACCCCCTTCCCCCCCAATGGGCAGGCACAGGTCGTCTCTGTGTTTGAGTCCTTTACCAAGCTATTCATCTGGTCGCTCTATCCCTTCCCTGTGAAGCACCTGCATAGACTTCTGCCCCACACTTGTATAATGAGTTGTGACATCATAGCCTAACTCCCTTCCCTACTCATGATAACAAAGCCCTTCCTGAACCCACTGTGTGGAAGGTGAAAAAAACCCCGCTCCATCTATGCCAATCTGGTGGTGAGGGAAAAATTCCTTCCCAGCCCCCCTAGAAAGGAGCAGCTAGCACGAAGCCCACAGCAGGTCCTGAGCAAACCTGTTATTTTGCCCCCTCAAGGGGAGGCAGGGTGGGTGCTGCTCCACCTGGTCCGGGGAAAAGGGGCTTCTCCTGCCAGACTTGCCCCTTTTGAACTTCCCAGCTCTTCTGGTCCCTGGGGATGAGTCAGTGTCACCACGCTGACCCACTCCCCCTTTTGCAGCAGCTTCTGATCCTTGCTCCCACTCTTGGCCATAAAGAGCTATTCCCTCTTCCCCAGCAAGTTGGACAATACCCCCCTGACAGACACACACACACACACACTCTCTCTCTCTCTTAAAGGTGTGGTGTGGTCAATTCTGCAAATTTATGAACTGACCAGGTGGCAGACCTTCGTGTGTTTGTTGTGGTGGTGTTTTTTTAAAAAATCCTCAAGTATAATAATAAGGCAACTTGGGTAGAATACTGTTTCCCTAATCTGATTGAACTTTCTCAGAAGACTCTCAAATAATGGCTTTGTTGCCCGTACAGTAGTATAAAATCCTTCAGCTTCTGCAAGCCTGAGATATTCAGTCTTTGGTTTGGGATTTTGTTTTGCTTCTAACTTTGTTTGCTCATTTATGAGTGGAGGTGGCAACTCAGGCAATACTTAAGGACAGCAGGGTGAAATCAAGAAAAAGTTTCAACTTTAGCTATGAATTGCCTGGCTTTTGTAAAGTTTTGAGGAAGATCCTCATGTCAAAATTTTTTTGTGTGTGTAGGTATTGTAAATACAAAGACTTGTGGGGAGGCGGAGGTGTGTGTGTGTGTGTGTGCGCCACCATTGATGCAAAAGTGTCAAAAAAATACATGATGGCTGATTAGTTGGCTTGTGCAAATACAAGCACACTTTGTAATAGATAAGTAAAATTTTAGGTTAGTGAAAATGTGCCATTTTTCCTCTCTTGCAAAAGACTGGTTGTGTTTTAAAGTTATTTCACAGGCAGAAGAGAAGCTAAAAATCATGTTGCCAGATGGGAGAAGAGTTCATTTGTCTTATTGATTATATGTTATTCCCAATCTCCTCCTTCCATCTAGAAAACACTGCCAGTGCATTTCTACACTCCTTGTCAGGCACAAGGATTTCACCACCACATTACGCTTCCTCAGAGTTTGCTTTAGTTTTTGTACTGCATGCTTGCTTGCTTTTCCCTGTGTTCCTTTGGTAAAAGAAACCACTTGTACCAGGCTTACTCACGTTTTTCCTCTTCCATGTGTTTTAACTCTTGGCTTTGAATGAAGTACTATTTCTGATTCTTAACCTAGTTGTTTGCTGGTAATTTTATATTTACTTCATCCAGTGAGTATGAATAGTATCACAAAACAGAGCTCTGCAGAAACTGATACATAATCCAACTACATGCCATGTTGTATTTATACTACTAAGCAATGAGAAGTTTTTGAGTAAACATGATATGCCAGAGATGTACATTTTAAACAGTTGGTAAAGGAACCTCTTTGCTAATTCCAGTATTGGATATACTGGTATAAATAACTCTTTTCCCATATGGATACCCACTGCTTGGTTACTCCAGTACTGAGGAGTTTTCTGTTTTCGTTCCACATTTCAAAGGTAGGCTTGGATCCTTCTGGAATTTTTTTTTTCAAGTTGATTGCCTCATCACCATTTTGTCAAGGTAGAAGTACTACCATCATTTTACTGAATAAAATAACGCTTTCCTTTTTCTATCTCCAAGGTGTGGCTGGGAGGGAAACAACAAATTTAGTATTTGAATACTTATGCCAATTTTAGAAATGTATTTATTAATTTGGTACTACTCTGAATTCAGGGATTTCAAAACGATCAAACAGACAGTAGATTGCTGATCATTTGTAGCAAGTCATAGAATATGTAAGCCATGTGCTACTGTATAGGTTTGAATTACTGACAGTGAGTCCCAATTTTCAGAAATTTGCTAAGGCCTCTCTTTCTGAATATGTCATCTTCCTGACGAAATAGTCACAAAGTGATGTGATGACTGGAAGAGCTGTTCAAATGGGGGGAACAAACTCTTAAAGAAAGACACATGTTATCCTTCATTTCCCTAGTTGGTTTCCCCAGCAAAGATGCTAATTGGCAGTCTTCACACAAGACTTGATTCACTCAAATTTAAGCAAATACTAGATTTACAAATACAACTGGAAGAAAAACAAAAGAGGCAGAACAAATATTAACTGTGACATACAGACAAAATTGCTGTCCACAATGACAGCTGAAAAATCCTTTTACTTTAGAAAAGACAATGACAGTGGAAGCAAGTCGTTATTCCTACAGCAGAACCCAGGATCATGCATTGTGGAAATGGACAGAAGTAGTTGTTGAGATTTACTTGAAATATTGAAGGTTTCCTTTCGATACCTTTTGCATATAGGAGAAAAAGTAAAGATGTGGTTCTTTGTGGTATAGAGGAGATGAGATTCTGTGACACTGACAGCAGAAAGCAATGAAGATGCCCACTTTTCAGAGAATTGTTAAAGACAACAGCATTGCTGAAGTTGCTGAGTTCCATTTAACACCTGGCTGAAGCCACATCATAGTGACTCTGGAGTAAATCATTTAGAGCCTGTAGGAGTGGGGGTGAGAAACAACCAGAGAAATACAGAATTAAAATAATGTATTGACTAAGTGACTTAGAAAACTAGTTCAGGATCTATTGACTTATTCTGCTTATTATTTCTTAAAGTTCTTATTGAAAGAATTCAGGTATCTTAAAGTGGAGATGTAATAGTACATGTTGCAAGTACTGTATGGGTGCCATTATACGAATGCCTAAGTTAAGCCTCTGAGCATGCCTTATGAACTAGATGTTTCTGAAAGCTTGATCAGTCTTAATATGAGCTGCTTGTGCACAGATTAATAAATAGTATTCTTCCCAATCTTTTGTCATTAGTGCTTATGATAAATAAAACAACCCATCTTTTTTGCTTCCACATAAATAATATACTCCTTTAATAGATGGCCCTAAATGTAAAATCCTGAGATGCATGCCATTTGTAATTATAATTGGTGCTTTTCAGTATCCTAACGGGTGGTTATAAAATCTGGGTTTTATTTTATTTTGTCGAGTGCTGAAATAACTCTATACAAAAGTAATTAGGCTTCTAATTTTGTATTACCTGTGGTAGATAGCAATGGTAATGAAAATAGAATCCCTACTTTTTGGTAAGCAGAATGATCGCGCAGAGATAGTATTTAAATACTATTCAGTATCACTTGGGTTTAAAAAAGAACTACAGTTTAGACAGTTTTTACAAGCCAGCAAAGCTATTAAAAGCCTCTAATAAAAAACTAGGCTCTTATTTTTGTGCTAATACTAATTACTGATAATACATGCTTATGTTTGTCATTCATTATATGGAGCAGTACCAATCAGTGGATGACTGAGTCTCAAGCACTTACACATGTAAATTAACTATTGGATTTTTTTTCTTTTTTACTTAAGTGAGTCATAATGGAAAGCAGCACTAGGTCATAAAAATCTTTTCTCTTAAATGCTAATGAAATTTCTCCATTCTCTCCATTAGCAGACTCCCCTTATTGGTAATTTGTAGCCTTCTCTTTTGTTCCTGGTTGTAATGAATGCTGGGTACAGAAAAAACTTGAGCTATGAGAACGCTTCAGTTATTGTCTTCTGCTTGCTTACGCTGTAAAATTATCTTTCCCTTCCAAAGCTGTACAAGATCAAAAGAAAATAAATTGGCACCCCAGTACACAAAATGACTCTTGCTTTATTAATTATATAGCTTTCAAAAGTTAATTTATTCTGGTAAGGCAAAAACACTAAAATTCTGTAACATCAAATAATAACTCAGTAACAGGCCTTTATTCATTGCTTTCTTTTACTTCATTGTAAACATTTGCACTGGAGTGTACATAAATGTTATAATTCTCTTCAATCCTCCATTATGGACTCTGCTCCTGCAAAAGTATATTCTGCCACATAAGTGTGTAATTAAAAAAAATACCAAGTTTGTAGTAAAATAATATGTATCATAATTTTAAAAAATCCAATGCCTGAGATTTTTTTTCTGATACAATAAAAAAGTCCATATTCTTTTTAAATTTGAAATTATGTTCTGATTTCTTATCAGAAATAACAGTGGCATTCAAGCAGTTGAAAAGAAGCTTCTGTTTGAGTGTGTAGAAACTAAAAATAACAGGGATCTTAACTTTCAAATTAAATAATGTCAGCACCACTTTCCTTTACATGTCTTGAGTTTTGAAGACAGCTTTGGAAGTTTCTGAAGTTTTAATAATTCAGAAGAGCCTTCAGGAAAACATACGTCGCTGACCTGTAAGCAGCTATACTCAACAGGTTGTGTGTTCCTCAGCCAATACATGCATACTTTGATAGAAGTATAATAACTGTCCTGAACACACCAGAGGGTTGCTGGATGATGCATGCACTCCATGGAGTGTGTTACTGAACTTATTGTTGAGGAAGAAAAGCAAATGTAAAAAAAATACACCTAAATATTAGTCCTCCCACAAGAATTAAGTGAATGGTTGCTGAAGGATGGATCACAGGGAAGGAGAAAACTGCTTCTGTTAATAAAGCTTTCCCCCATTTTCTCCAAACTAGCTGTCAGGAGCAGAGTCTAAGGCTATGCCTACACTATGGACCTTATGGTGGCACAGCTGTACCGCTGCAGCTGCGCTGCTGAAAGGTCTCCTGTGTAGCTGTTCTATGCTGGTGGGAGAGCGCTCTCCTGCCAGTATAGTTTAACCACCCCCAACGAGTGGTGGTAGCTACGTCGGTGTGAAAGCATCTCCCACCAACACAGCGCGGTCCACACCGGCATTTTTGTCAGTGAAACTGATGTCAGTCAGAGTGTGGTTTTTTTCACACCCCTGACCAACAAAAGTTTTGCCAACAAAAGTGCTAGTGTAGACAAAGCCTGACTCTTTCCTCCTTTCCCCCTTTTTGCCTTGGTTCCCCACAAATTGGTGGATTAAGTGGAGGCTGCAGTGGCTTCAACTACTTAACCCTCAAACCCCCAAAAGTTTAAGGCCAGATATACACACACAACTTTTGCCAGTATAGTAAAGTTGGTTAGAGGTGTGATTTTTTTTTTTTGTATGATGATTGATACCAGCAAAACCCCTATTGTAGGCACAGTTATACTGGCAAAGAAGTGCTTTTATTTGGGGAACGGCACGAGCTATATCAGCAAAAGTACTCTTGCTGGTATAATAGGAGGGTTTGCCAGTATAGCTATACATTTTCTAATGTAGACTAAGGCCTGGTCTGCACCGGGAATTTAAAAATCAACACCTCTGAGAGATGTAGCTACCCTGACCTAAGCTCTGGTATAGACAGCACTAGGTCAATGGGAGAATTCTCCCGTCGACCTAGCTATCGCTTCTCAGGGAGGTGGAATACTTACGCCAGCAGGAGAAGCCCTCCCGTCAATGTAGGTAGTGCCTTCACTGAAGCGCTACACCAGCGGTACAGCTGTGCATTTTACGTGAAGACATGTCCCTAGCTACTGCCTCTCAGGGAGGTAGATTACCTGTGCCAACAGGAGCATTTTAAGTGTAGGCATACCCTAGGCCTAAGGCTCCAATCCTTTAACTGATAACACATAGATGGACTGTTTGGCCTGTGAAAAGCATGGCTTTATGTGGGTATAGCAGTCTACCCATGTGTTATCTATTGCAGGATTGGAGTCCGCAGCTCCAGACCTACAATCCAGATGCGCAGAGACCCCCCTTGTGGGATCAGGGCCTAAATTAAGACAAAGTATAACAAGTTGATGTAATGAACAATGGGAGGGAAAGTATGAGGAAAACATTAATCGAATTGTCCCGTTAGACTGACCTGCCACTTGGTAAGGCAACTCCCATCCTTTCATGTGCTGTGTATTTATATCTGCTACTGTATTTTCCACTCCATGCATCTGATGAAGTGGGTTCTAGCCCATGAAAACGTATGCCCAAATAAATGTGTTAGTCCCTAAGGTGCCATAGGACTCCTCGTTGTTTTTTGCTGTTACAGACTAACATGGCTACCACTCTGAAATAGATAACAGTAGTTAAGATGGTTTCGTTATTGGGTACATTGATTTTTTTTTATTAGCCTGTGAGATTCTGTAACCCATATATTATACTGTCATATCTAATTTTTCTTCTGTTCAGAAAAGTTTATTACATTTTTCTCCATTCTGACATATAACATTATGTATGCTGCAAGTCTATAGTATCAGTTTCTAGATACCCTAAGGTTAGTTAAAATTAGCCTTAGTAAATAGTTTCCCTAAGAATTTTCATTTTCCTGCTTGTTAATTTTTTTCACTATTAATTGTAGCGCCCAATTTTTTTCATGTTTTTAAGTGAATGTTTTGTCTGAAGGTTAGAAGAGGCTGACTGTGCTGGAAGTGACTGCAGTGCCTTTTGATTATTCATGGACAGTAATAGAAGGCACTTAAAAAGAACAATGAAATTGCTTATTTTTGTGATGGGCCATCTGTTGAATTGTTTTGTGCAACAATCACACAATAGTATCTATGTCATATCATTCTATTTTCTACAGCAGCTGATTATGTATAGTTGGCTACTTGTCCTTATTTCTGAAGTCCCATGACCATTTAAAGTCACCTCTACCAACCTTTACTAGAAAGGTAATAGAAATGTAAAACAGCTGGTGTGTATTTTCTTTCTTTATCTTCTGTTTTTCATGTTGGTTCTAATTAATTAGGCCTCTTTGAAATGTGTAGGTCTGTTTTCTGTGTCTCCCACCTGTAGTTTTATAATAGAAGTTAACATGGACTCATTTAGCAATTGGTAAAGAAATGATGGGGTTCTGTAATAAAGAGCAGGCAAGTTTTAAAAGATTGCCATGCGTTCCCTGCTTATTAATTATCTCCTTTATTTCCCCCTTCCCCTCCCCAAGCAATAATTAGAATCCTTCTCCAGGATTTTACTAACAAGCCATTTTTTTTTCTGACTATGAAACCATTTGCAGATCTATTATGGCAGAAGTTGAAAGCAAGAAAAACAACTGTGTTGTCTTCCACAGGTCACTGACATTGCTGATGCCATGATTCTGAAACAGCTTTTTGAAAATCTGTTCCAAAACGGGGTTGTCGTTGTGGCAACATCCAATAGGCCACCTGAAGGTAAACACAAACATGCTACCAGTATGATAAAAGTACAGTGAAACTAACACATTTCTTATAAAAGCCACTTTACATGTATTCGAATTTAATGGTGATAAAATCTCTAGTTTTAAAAATCTGTGGTATTCTGTCCATGCCATGCAGACCCCTCCTAGTTTTCTCTCATATATGGAAGAAAGGGTTCATCCTGGGTCCTATCCCCCTCCTCTCTCTCCCCCCTCCCAAATATTTTTTTTCTCTGCTTCCACAGCTTCTTTAAGTGATGTTAGTAACCCTTCCTATCTCTACAGTGGGGAGAAAAGCTGAGAAACTGCCTCAGGATTGGGTGGGCTCAAGGACACAGGCAGAGCCTGGCCAGCAGAAGGGAGAGGGAATGAGTAACTGTTTCTTCCCTCCCCATTCTTAGGCTGTGGGCTTGTCTACACTACCGTGCTACCTCGGTGCCGCTGCAGCTACGTCGCCGGGAGAGCATCTCCCGCTGACATTGCATGGTGTAGACACCACTTTAAGTCAGTGTAACTTACGTTGCTCACAGAGGTGACTTTTCCACACCTCTGAGTAAGTGATGTAAGTTATGTTAACTTAATCAGTGGTATAGACAAGTCCTATGTCTACAGGGGTGTGATTTCCCCTGTTTTTGAAAACATACTCACACTAGCTCTCATTGTGCTAGCACATGTATAAATAAGGAAGCCGCGGTAGCACTGGTAGCTGCCCTCCTGCTCTCTGTCCTGCCCAGCCCCTTGCAGAGCTTGTAGGCATCCCTCCCTGCCTGAGTTATCCTCAGTCAATTTAGCAAGTGTTCAAAACAAGACCAACAAAAGTGGCAACACAGTTGGGATGCGCAGTCCGCCATGTGCCATCAGGATAGGTGGCACCAGGGTGGGATGGTGCTTGGGGCTGGATCGACTCAGTTAACAAGAAGTTGGAGACTTAACAATCACTTTTTGTTGGAGGGGGGGAATATGAGATCCCCAAATCACCTTCTCCTTGAGAGGCACATTGGATGCTGCTGCAGTTTCAATGTCCCCTGCTGCTGGGGGTGCATTGAAGCAGCATGTAAAATAGACAAAGTAAATATTCTGAAATGAAACTCTAATACGTTCTCAAACAGCATTTTTCTTACTTTGCCGATCTATAAATTTAAATGTTTATAGATTTATTTTTTTGTTGGCTTGCCTGTGTGTATAGGGAAATCAACATGTACCAACATTTAGCAATAAAAATCTAATCCTTATATAATAATCATCTGACATGGTCTGTGTCAGAGGCAGTTGTAACAGAGTGTCTACATTCTTCTGTTGACCTGCCCAGTTATCAAGTGTTACGACCTTGCAGTCAGATGGAGACTTGTATTAATGAAGTGAAGTAGCACATCATAACTATTGTATGATGATAAAGCTGTAATGGAACTATTCATCCTGTCCCTACAGTTACATAGTTTCCAGAAAAGAGACCTTTTTATTATAGATATAAAATTCTGTTTTACCAGTTATATTTATTAATCTACACTTTATTTCATAAATGTTAAATATGCATTTAATGATAAAATATTTTAATAAATTAAACCTTTTTTCAAAGGTAATGTATTTATCTGTAATATTTTATTGTTTGCCTACAAAGCAAATTGTATTTTCTTGCCTTGAAAAAAATGGTATATGTGATGGGAATTACTAGAAGATGAAGGGAGTAACCTTAATCAACAGAATAAAGACATTACCAACTCTGGCAATTGACATTATTTCTTCGTAGTTTAAATCTTTTTACAAAAAAAAAAAATCATTAAGATTAAGCCTTTTGTATATTTTGGCCTTATAGTTGCACTGATTGATACATAACGTTTCCAATTCTTTTATGAGCTTATTTTAATACAAAGGTTTTGTATCTCTTCTGCTAAAATCACTTCGTTCTCAGTAGAGATTTAAATCTAATTTCACTGAATCCCTTTTGAGATTTTCTTGGGCTGTTCTGTTTTGTTTTGTTTTTTTCCCCCTTATTAAGAATGTAATGAATTTCATGCAGCAAAAGAATAGAAATCAATTTCAATTCCCTTTCATTCCTTTATCCGTCTAACAGCATAGAGCTTTATTTGCCAGATTTAAAGACAAGCTGGCATTATTATTAAGGGGCAAGGCTAAGTAGCAAAACTAGTACCAGTTTTCTCTTTCAGACCTCTATAAAAATGGGCTTCAGAGAGCAAACTTTGTACCATTCATCGCTGTGCTGAAGGTAAGGAAAGTCACTTGTTGAATGCTTTCTTTCTTTGCCTGTCATATTGATAATCAAGGGTTTGTACAGGATTACTTCAATCTTACTTCAGGAAAAATGCTTTATTTATTATGGCGTTGAAGCAAATTGTAATGGGGGGGAACAACTTTTCATCTGTAACATTAATATCTGTATTTAATGGAAAAGCTGAACATGTAACAGGGCAAAATGTTAGCTTCTATAAGTAACATAGTAGAAAATATTTGTTTGGACAGAATTTTATTACAGCTGTGTATGTGCAAGTTGAGACTAATATTTCTATAATTGTTATAACAAATGTTGCTGCAATATTTTTTGACGTTTTAGATTTATCATGCTAGCATACTTTTCCCAAGCCAATGGCATTTTCTATAAAGATGTTATCTTAAAATGTAAGCACTCCATCAATGTAGGCTTTGCAACTGAAAAACTACACTAAGTAAAGGAATAGTTACTGGTACTCCTATATTTTCAGTTGTATAATACGTAATTTTTTCAAGTTATCACATTGTCTACTTTTGCTTTTCATTTCATCTCTCATTTCTGCTCCCATGCACATGCTTCTTTCTTGCCTTGTCCCCTTCCTTCCCCCCCTCACCCCCCAATATGCTTTCCTTGTGACTTAATCCAGCTGATGAGGGGAGAAGAGGAACCTACTACCAATCTGCTTCATTCTTTCCTCCCTGCTCGTGGACATTTTTATTTTGCTTGTGGCTAGCATGTGGCTGGATTCAACCCCTTATTTCCAAGCTTTCCTTTACTGTGATGTCCATGGACACCTATACAAACAATATAAGAATTAGCACCATGTGATCATCCAGCTCTCTGCAGGCCACCAGCAAATGTGCCATGGAGCACAGTTTGGGAACCATTCTGCTACACCACCACTTTAATTGCTGGGTCTCATTGTTTCTCACTCAGAAAAATAATTGTTTCTCTGGAGTTTCTCTGGAATTCGACTGTCCCTCACTTTTTCAACATTCAAGTCCATCTTACGTTTAAATATATTTTCTCCTATGTAAGTAGCTTTCTAAGTGGGGATGGTCAAGACTCCAGTACTACATGGCAAGGGGAACTTAAATTCTGTAGGAAGCTCCTTGACATCTGCATACTCTGGTATGACAAACTGGAAATTCTGCAGCACCTTCATTTAAATTCAAAATGGAGGTTTTCATTGAGTTAAATATGAATAATGCAGTCAGTTGAGTAACCACTGGGGTTGGTTTGTTTTGATAATAAATAAAATGAATGTATGCAGTATCGACACTTTCAGGTTTTGGTATGGCACAGATTTTTTTTAATTCACAAAAGGTAACTGTATTGTAGAAATTGAGGGAAGGGAAGCTGGAGGTTTTGATATCTACGGATCAATGGGAAGCAGTTTGGGATTGTGGGATGAATATATTAATTGGATATTTCTGCTAAAGTGATCAGCAGTGAAATAGTTAATAGTGGCTGGGATTTTTCAATGAGGCTTAAGGGAGTTAGACACTCAATTCCCATTAAAGCTTAATGGCAGTAGGACCCATAATTGTGTTAGGCCCCTTTGAAAATCCCATTCAGTGTTGACATTTAAACTTATCAGGCTTCAAAATTAACATCTCATTGAGATGAATGTGGCAGTTCACATGTCTCAGAATTACTGTTTCATGCTGTCAAGAAGGCAATGTTGAAAGGTTTTCTTCATAACCATAAAAGTTATAAACTCAATTAAAAATTAAAGCATGGGCCACGTCTACACTGCAGCTGCTGCTGCAGCATAGCTACAGCACTGCAACTTATGCCGCTATAGCACCATAGTGTAGAGGCTTCCTACATCTACAGAAGGGGTTTTTCCATCAGTGTAGGTAATCCACCTCTCTGAGAGGCGGTAGCTAGGTCGATGGAAGAATTCTTCTTCTGTCGACCTAGCCACACCTATACTGGGGGTTAGGTTGACCTAACTACAGTGCTCAGAGTGTGAAATTTTTTACAGCCCTGAGCGATATATCTAGGTCAATCTAATTTTTATGTGTGGACCAGGCCTGAGATTCTCCAACACAATTCTGCAGCCAGAGGTATATTCTGCAGCAAATTCTGTGCTCCTAGAACATGCAGGGCCCTAATTCTTAGGAGTAATTGTAACTATATTAATTTCCTGAGCGGCAACACTGTGTTCAGCCTGCATCACTGGAACCTTTCCTTCATTTTGCCATTAATCAGTCTTTTCTCCTTGACCTTCTTTCATTCCTTACTGGGAGTGTGTGTGTATATACACATACACACACACACACACACACACACATATTGCTGTAATTGCTGGGTTTATGGAATCTCTATCTTGCCAAACCCTTTATTTGTCGTTTATCCTCTTTTGCTATCAAAAAAATGAATGACTACATGCCTTTAAACCAGATCACTATCCTGACTGTTAAAGTTATCTCAAGATTTTAGGCAGGACCTTACATATGGAATATTAAGAGATACCTTCTCCCTCCTGAGATTAGTTATTAGGGTAATCTTTGTGTTTTCGCTATTCTGTGTTCTTTGTATGTTTCATGTTACTTTGTTTTTAAATACTTCTGTAATTAAATCCATCTTTAATATTAGTTTAGTAAATGTTACAGTACTTGTAAATAATTTGGATCCCCCTTAAAATTTTTAAAGCAAATCATAGGAGGCTTATCAGGCAACGGGATTCTGTCCTCGATAACAAACACTGAACAACGGTAGCATTGTATATAAAGTAAAGAACGACCTTCAAAACTCATATTTTTAATACGGCACTTGTGGGAGCAGGACAGTCATTTTTTAAAATTGAATAAATTTAAAAATAAGACACAAAAATTGTCTTAAGTGGTGGAATGCAGTTCAGAAGGTGTGGACATAAACTAATTTTTTGTCTGCCATAGGGTTTTACCATGACAATTTATTCCTCCCAAAAGCATGATGCTTGTATGTGAACTATATCATTGTATTCATCTACATTGTCTCATTATAACCACCATTTCCTGTTCATGTTCACAATTATGCTATTTAAGCTTTTAAAAAACACACACACAAATTAAACTGAAGGTGTTCCTTGAAATTTTCCATGACAATCTAACTTCAGGAGGAAAATATTAAATTGGTTGCTTACAAATGGTCTTCATCCTGACCCTATCCTCAACAGAGTCCACAGACCATGAGTTAGTTCATCCTCAGCCCCTCCCTAGGGTTTGGCTTTATGGATAATTAAAAAATAATAAAACATAAATTATCAGTCCTAACTGCATCTAGGAGTTCTCTCTGGGATCTCTTCTGTTCTCAATTCCCTTTACACACACAGAGCGTCTCCCAGTCTCACATATCCTGCTTGGAGCTAATTGGACTCACTTGCCACCATAACTCAGTAGTAATTAGCCTGAATCATAATGTAGGTTTCAGCACCTGAATCCAGAATGACTCAGCAGAAGAGGCTTTAATTTCCTATACCAGGTTTTAGGGAGTGCTCTTTAGTGGGATGAAAATGGTATATTTCTGAAAAGAGCTGCTTCTCTCGAAATAGTGTCAATGTCAAACTGCCTGCTTTAAACCTCAATATGCTCAAGATGGACTTGAGATTGGTGGGACGGAGAAACCACTTTGACTAATTGGAAGGAACTAGCTTCTCACCCTTTGAGAGTATCTGCCTCCGAGTTGTCAATGTGGTGTACGATTTAGGAGTTGCAATGCATTAGACACTGCTGCTCCTAGACACACTGATAGTAGTAGTGGCCAGAAATATCTTTTCCCATCTTTGGCTCATCAGCAAATTACCCTTTATTTTCAGATACAGACTTAACCCACATTCATCCTTTCTTTCATTGTCTCCAAGTTGTATAATTGCAATGCCTATGTTTTTTCATTCCTGAATCAGTTTTTGTAGGGTGAGCAAGAAGGCATATCAGTTCAACACTAGTGATGCAGATTGGCTGGGCCCCAAGCTCGGGGAACAAGGGAAGCAGAGGTGGGTCGGGGAAAGATATTTTTTTTTAAGTAATTCACAAGATTTATACCTTTGGTATTTTATTTATATGCTTGTCTATCTTGCCTTTTTATATTGTAAACTCATCAGGGCTTGTATTTTCCATTGTGTTCATACAGCACCTAGCACAATAGGGCCCTAATCCTGATTTGGGTCTTCGGGAGCTACTGCAATAAAAATAATAAATAATATCTGGGCTTGATTACAAAGGCCATATACAAGCTCCAGTTAGTTCAATTTACGGGAGCCTGCTTCCCAAGTGGGATTGACCAATGAGATCACACTGTGGCAGTTCTTCATGGAGTGCACTTGGCTCCCTGTCCAATTCTGGATCCATTCTGAAATCCAGGTTCAATTTTCTAAAGCTGTCAGTAGGTTAAGACTTAGCTATTTCAGAGAATACAGAGTGAATGGCAACTCTCAGCTGTAGCTGCGTTGTACAAGGATGCCATGGCTGAAACTCTGCAAGGTAGAGTATTCATTATAAAAGGGCTTGGTTTTCTACCACTGGAGATCACGTTCAAACCAAATCTTGATGCTTTTAGAGTTTAGTGTAAAACCAGATTCTCTGAGCAAACCGAAAGATGGCTTCAGAAAAGCTCAACAACAAGAAACGACAGTCTTACTTTAAAATGTGATGTAAAAAAGGAAGGAGTGGGGAGTATCATCTGTTGGGGCAGAATTCCTTGTCTGAATTATGTGTCTGGCCTGTGGTGGTTAGAAATGAAAGCATTAGAAATAGAAGTCTGCATTGCTTAAATTTAAGTATCTATTTTCAAAAATCTATTGGCTGATTTTACACAGTCCTAAAATGAAACAAATATAAGGTGGGGGAGGGGACATTTTTGTCCAGTGTTACCTCCTCCATGATCCTGCCCCTCTTGTAGGTGTATGGATTGCAGAGAAAAAAATTGTTGCTAAATATTCATATAGATTTGTAATCTTCCACCAATCAGATTGCTTCTTCAGTCCATACCATTTTTTAAATATAATATAC